CCATCCATCCATCCATCCATCCATCCATCCAAACAAAATGGCTAAAACGATTAAGAAGTGGGGTACCAAACAAGTTTTGATTCTACATTTATTATGGTGTGATATGGAAAAAAGTGATCAGTTTATTTAAAACTAAAAACATCTTTGCTCATTAACAGGTGCTTCCTGGGCATCAGTCCTGAAAGAGACTCAAAGACCAGGAAGCAGACAACAATGAACCCCCATGTAAGCAACCTTTGGAGGAAACTCACTGACTTTGAATGGCCCAATGGCGGCCCACTGCTCCCCAATGGGTTAGGGTTAAATAAAGAGAGGGAATTTCTCAATTATTACTATTTTAATTATTAACATTTCCTGTATGTTAAAAAACATTTATTTGTCAATAAATATGCAATTGACTAACTTTGACTTTTCTCAAGAGTTGTTTATCAGGGTGCGGTGGGAGTGGGTGGTTGGTGGGATAGAGTACAATGATTGTAAATTCAATGTAAATGTTTGCATTACTTTCACAGTAAATTGCTGGTCAAATGTTGCATAGTACATTGAAAATTGACCGTAAATTACTCTAAACTTGTGTATTCCTTTCACAATATACACCCTTAAAAGTACATGGCCTTATTGTACTAATGTGCAGCAAAATGCTGTAATTTCACAGTAAAATACTGTAATATGAAGGTAATTGCTTTGTTATTGAAGCCATAAAGTTATAGTAAACAGTTTTGCTTTCATAACAATTTATTGTAATATCACAGCTGTAAATTCACAGTACAGTAAGTTGTTGTATGATTTACAGTTCATTGCTGTAATACTTACTGTGAAAGTAATGAAACCTTTATCCAGTAATTTGCTGTAAAATCGCAGTGAAAATTTAGCAGTGAAGGTTTGATTAAAGTACAGCTATGAGCTTCTTTTATCACAAAGTTTAAGCAGCTGATAAAGAAGACCGGCTCTGTTCTAAGGAATCCTCTAGAACCCCTGGAGATGAAGATGATGGTGGACAACAGTGAGTATCATCTTCATCAGACTGTTAAGTCTTCAGTCTTAGATTAATACAAGTTTCTCGTCATTTTGTAAAGATTTTGTCATTTTGTCAGTCATGGAGATCCTTCATCCCTTCGGCATCAAAATCTACAACTGCTTAAATAAACCCTGTGATTTATTACATTACATTTCATTTCTTTTCGTGGTCATTATTTTGTAATCTAATGAAATTTAAAGTAAATAAGCTAATTTTGATAAACTACTACAGGATAAAATCATATTTGCTTTACATAACTGATACTACAGAAAATTGTCTGAAATATCAGGTTAAGAAGCAAAGTAGAATCACCATTATTGCTCCACTGCAGACACACCCACATTTCTTCCACTCCTTCCAATTACACCACAGACTCTTCCTTCACTCAGACACACTCACTCAGTTCTATTCGTGTTGACTGTCCAGAGTCCACGAATACCACTCAGCTTATCTTCACCCTCCCCACCACTTCTATTGACCACCTTAGGCAGTAAAGGTAAGAACATTTCCCCTTCCTCGTTGTTTTCACCTTAACAATCAGCAGATTTTATTTATTTATTTTATTAATTGCGTTAAATCTGTAATCCTGTTACATCTATAACTTTACGCTGGAATATCTGACATTGGATCTTTTCTTATTTGCTTTTGAGGTTCTTATAAATTAGAAGTAACTTAGCAACAGACATTTGAAACATACCGTTTTCTTCCTAAATATATGGATTATGTGTATTTCTGGGATCCAACAGCCAATGTTCCTGCAGTGCTGTTAGTGAATGAAAGATTTATCATACCTTTTTATATGATCTAAAACCCTAAAAATGAGCCTAACGTAAAGCCATGACTCACTTTACAAACTAGGAAATGTAGAAATAGCAACAGGCGAGAAACATGATCAAATGTTTGGTTGCTTTACGGATGGTAAATACAGAAAATAGAAAAGTTTGAAATATTTGGTAAAGATGTTTATCTCACTGAACCTGAAGTGGTTTAAAAAGATTTTCTCTTTGAATAAACATGTCTGTGTTTTTTTTTTTCTTGAAGCCTGTAGCAGCACATTTGCCAAACAGCCACATTCCAGCAGCCGAGCAGCTCCTGCTCAGACATGTCGCTCCATAGCTTTGGGCTGGAACCTCTCTCCTGCCACGCCTGGAATAAAGATAGGACCCGTAAGTCTAACTGCAACCATACAAAGAAATGTTTCTTTCACCAAACACTTTTATTTCATTACAAGATGCAGTGTTTCTGTAGTTAATGTTGGCAGGAGAGCCACAGGGAATCTAATGATCGATACAGGAAATGCAGTGAAAGCTTTAATGCAGGCATATAGCTTCAGGATATTGAACCAAATGATTCTTCTGTTTCACCTGCTGTTAGCTGGACATAAAATCAAAACATAAAATCACCATGCACTACAGTCATGGCC